TCCTTGGTTGCCTTTCGTTTGGGATTGCGCGTGGGCGCAATGTTGACGTCCGACTCTGGATCCGAGGTCAGTTCCTCCTCTGATTCTTTTTCTCCGCCATCTTCTAGCCCAAGCAGTCCACGGATCCGTGCTTGTTTGGAGGCGGGCTGCTTCTTAACCCATGTCTCGGCAATTGCCCGGTCTGCTTTATCGACATGCGCCTCGTTGATATGTCGGTGAACCGCCCTCGGATTACCGAAAGGAAACAGCAGGGCGGAGTACTCGGAACCGGTCTCAAGGCTGCCATCCTTCCAGTATGCGGCTATGGCCTTGCAGATGCCATCGGTACTTCTGCTCGTGAACCCTATTCACATCCCAAGGAGATGAGACCCTGGCACCGCGCTCAAGCCGTAAGTACTGCGCACCGATATCCATATTCTTGGAGACCTCGATGTAGCGCACTCGGCAAATCGCCCGCTCATCTGCGTTTAGTCGGACCGTTGTTTTGGCCATGGGGTAGAATTGAGACAAGATGCAGATGGTGGTAGGAGATTTCGAGGAGATAATGACTAATCCCCTATCAGCATCTCTCCAATCAATCCACCATCCGAATTCGGTTGAGACTCCACCAATTCAACTTACTCAAGACGAGCACCCAGTGTTGACCCACACCCTATCCTGAAGTCTCCATGTTCCACTTCGAACACTCGGAGGTCGGGTAGGCGGAGAGAAAGCGCCACGATGGCACCACGTTGTTGGACAGCAGCGAACGGAGTCGAGTGCGACGACGTATGCAGACGCCATAAATGTAGCTCCTCCAGGGAACGGGGAAGCTTGGCGTGGCCAGTGCACAACCAATCAATTAGACCCTACTTGAACAGCGGTGAGTGATCAGCCAACAATCACGACGCAGACGCACCGAAAAAGATGTTGGGGGTTGCAATTAAAGGGGTAGCCGTCCACGTTCAACCGGAGATAGGATTCTAGTTTGAGAGGTGCTGTTGGAATCCGGGATACGAAACGATACCCCAGCTCTTCAAAGCTCGGGCGAAAAAGAGTAGTACCGGTGGTGAATGTGTAATACGGCGCGGGCTCGCCGTCGTCGTCCGAGTCCTCATCGTCGTAGCACTGCTCGCAGGATCCGGCTATTTCGCCCTCCTCCGGGTCGCTCCCGTGGACGTAATCGACCGCATTATGTCGACACGGTTCTATAAATGACATGTCTAGTTCGCGCAGGGTGGGAATAGTTTCGCGATGATGGGGAATAATTCCAGACTGGGGGATATGGCGGGCAGACAGAGTGACCGTAAAGCAGTGGAATTGTTCGCGGCGCAATATAACGCCGTCGATACATCGTGTGTATTATGTCCGCAGGTTCGCTGTAACCTGGGAGCTTCAGCTCCAGTGCGTCAAGCTTGCGTCAAGCGGACGATTGGCGATAATTTTTTAGGCGAGGAATATAGGACCGCAAAACGTTCGAAGGAGCGGGAGTGCCGAGAAAGCCAGGAAAAGATTGAGGGAAGCGGGAGCGGAGAGCACAGTCAAGCGCTCAAGGCGTGGGCAGTCTTGCAGGAATGCGAAAAAGAGGGGTGCTGTTTCTGCGGTCACGGATATTTGCAGATCCACGAGGTCGTCGAAAATATCTCCCGGAACATAAGCGGCCGGGATGGAGTCGACGTCAGGCCCCCAACAGAGATAACGAACGGATTGCGATTGGGGATGCGATGTTCAAGGGGGAAAGCAGTCCACTCTGCTCACTGAGTTGCCCCGAAATCGTAAATTGTTTGAGATGTAGTGGAGACGCGAGGCGGCAGGTAATGTCACAGTCTGTGAGGGTTAAATCAGCAAGTCGAGGGAGTGTAGAGAGCGCCTGTCGAAAATCCCCCGGGTCGATCGTCAATTCACCGAAGGCGAGGACGTGAGGACGGTGAATTGACGATATAGGGAGAGCGCCTGGGGGAGTTGGTGATCTACAGAAATATACTGTCGGTTTAGCGCAGACATTTCGATGGCCCCGGGATATTTCCACGATAAATCCAGTTCGAAGCTGCCCATAAACGTGAAGCGGCGAACGGAAGGAGCATGCCAGCTGTTCTGGACACACTTGAGCCGCGAGAGAGCCAAAGCGATATACGTGCAGAACTGCGTCCAGTTTTTGGAGGTGATATCCGCAGTGTAAGGCGCACGGAATATCTGTTCATAAAACAAGAGCGGTTGACATATATTGCGGAACAAGCGGCACACGAGAACGAGGCGCCGAAGACGACGGCTCTGGCAGTACTTCCAGCATCGTTCCCATACTTCGACTGGGAGACTCCGTGGAGGACATAAGATATTCGAGGAGCCCATCGAGAGCGCTGGAAGACTAGTAAGCGATCTCATGTACGGCCAAGAGCGACAGGAGCTTTTCCCAGATGCGAGGTTGTAGCAGAAAGTGGGAGAGGGTTACAGCGCAGCGCAGACCCATCGCTTTATGTAAAAGGCTCGTCTCCCTTGTTTCGCCCGCTGAGGTAAGCAGAGCCGCCTGTCAAGCAGCTACGGGCAAAGAGCCAAAAGTGCGCCATCACTGCCGAAAGACAATAAGTAAGTTGGCGATCTGCCAGTGGAGACTTGAGCGGTACGCACAACGGAAGCGAGATACAATAACCATCAAGATTCATGCCGTCGCAAGACTAGGAGATCCCCTGCTGAGAATGGATGGATGGATCCGGATGCGCAAACTTTGAGCTCCGATTTGGATGATTTGGTTGAATCTCAGTCATGCGGCCGCAAAATTTCAAAGCATCGCAGATCTGGCAGAGAGCGACGGCGAGGAACCCGGAACGAGACCACGACATGCGGGAGGCAAATGACTACTGCAGTGTGCGGAATAGGATCCTGTAGTCCGTGAATTGCGGCACAATCCTCTTGATAAGATCTCACCTTCGTCTCTAATCCAAGGGTGACAATCTAAGGGTGACGGCTGGTCGAAGACAGATGAGCAGGCAATTATTGCATTGAAACGAGAGAGAGAGAAACTCACAGAACACCGTGGTTGTATCGACACCGAGGGATCCAGGCAGTTAAAATTTGCTTCAAGATTATTGTACACATTTCACTCATCGATTATCACCCAAACCGCGCCCCCAGCCCCATCTCCGCAACGCGCCGCACCTCTGATTCGGTTAGCCCCAGGCCCAGCGGCTGTGCGGCGAGCAGCAGCGCGTATTCGCCTAAGAGGGACGTCCGGAATGGGAGTGTATCGTCCGTCTGGATGCGCAAGTGATGAAATGAGAACCTGAATTGCAACGATAACGAATAGAAGAGCGGCAGGCCACGCACACAAATTACGATGGGGTGGTCGTGTTGGATATAGTATCGTATGTGGTGGTCGTCCAGATTCGTCACCGTTTTGCAGCTTTGCAAGTCAGATATTTAGACGACCAGCGCAGAGAAAGAGACACGCACAGTATATTGGAGGACAAGCAGATCTCTATGCACGTCTTGTTTTCTCGCACGATCGCCTTGGCTTCCTCGTTCAGAAACGTCGCGTGCCCTAGGCGGTCAGGCGCATACGACAGGAGCTGTAGAGTCTCCTCTGGGGAGTTTGCCGGCGTCTGAAAGGTAATTAGCGCGAGCCGGTGAAGCGGGAGCGATTGGAGCACCTCAGCGATATGCAACGTGATGCCCAGACCCGCTCCCTTAGCGGTGGCAAAATGCTCAGCAAATATCTTCATGTCCCCCGCCTGCCAAAGGGTCAGTACAAATAAGATACAGAAACGGGAACGTACCTGCGGATCACCACACAAGTCTACACCCACAACTCTTCGTCCGGCGGCTTTCAATTGCGCTGCAACTCCTACGCATTCCCGGAGTACGTCCGCGCTCATCCGACGGTCCAAGCTGACGATCAAGGCAGCGCTGGAGGGTGCATATCGTTCTACTTCGTCGAGAACAGTCTGCACATATTCGAGCCTGCTCATCTCCGGCGTTTCGCGCGGGGTGCTCCGGAGCTCCAAATACGTACACTGTGGATCTGCACCGTCAAGGAACTGGGCCAGTACGGCGCGCGTCGCTCGCCGGAGGCTAGCAGGGTCCGCCGTGAGTGCATATATGGCCGGAAACAAGTTGAAGAAATCGTAGATTTCGTTCAGAACCACGCCGGTCTGAAGCTTGGTTATTCCTTCCTTGATTACATCGGAGGCCTGCTTGTCAGAAGTCTGCGAATACTCGTGTGCCATTTGCTGGAGCTCAGAGATCGGGATGGATCCGTTGAGGTGCGCGTGTAGCTCGGCTTTGGGCAATTTCTGGATGAATGCGACCTGAGATGCAGCCAGAGAGTCTAGGGCCAGCGCAGCGGGTCCTGAGATCTGGAGGGACATCGGAGCGAGCGACTTCGGATGAGGATGATGGTGGTTCGGTTGAAAAGGGATGTGTCCACGTGCTCGCTGCTTGTTCGCCTTTGTTTTGTGCACTGCCACTCGCTCCTGATGCTGGTTCGAATTTCGAGTTCGAATGCCGCCGGTTCGAAGCAGTCTAGTGCGGCCGTCGTGTCTTTCCTTCCTCTGTTGAGCAAAAACCATGTACTACGCACAATCGAATCTTGTGTATACCACGATCTCCCGGAATCGGATGAATAACTGACCCTCTGTCCAATTTCTGACTACATACTACGAAAATTATTACGAGGATCAGAAGCGCGTGTATCGAGGATGTACAAAGGACCAGGAAAGCCTCTGTGAATGAAGCAAATCGCCTCTCTCCTATGTCGCTCCTCAAGATATCGCGTGAGGAGGAGAAGTGGGTTCGATTCCCATCTCAGGCGTGAGTCTTATCGGCGACGATTATTTTTTTCGTGGCATGCCAGCGCCAGAGACAGTCGGTGTGCCGTTAAAAGTTTGTGCCAACACAGGGGGTGTCGACACATTTACCAAATACACTCACTACTAGCTGAGGGGTGTTGTGATTGAACGGTTGAAACTTTTGGGAGTTGAACCCTAGCGCTGATTCGCGTCGTATCAAGGCTTAACGAATGCTTATAAGCCTCTGTGGATGAAGTACATCACCTCTAGTTAGTTTTGCATTCTTCTTCTTAATCATCAGGAGGAGGAGTGGGTTCGATTCCCACCAGAGGCTTTGATCTTGAGCGTGGCTATCCAATGTTTTCCTCTCGCGTGCTGCCTCAGGATTCCAGGAAAAATCAAACTTGAATCAAACCACCGCGAGGCGAAGACCTCCCTAGTCGGATTTACAACAGAAAGTACACACATTTATCCCCGACGTGTAGGGTAGGACGAGAGCTGTAAGCCTCTGTGGATGAAGTACATCGTCTCTAATCCATATATGACTTCCATCGAGACGATTTCAACGGGGAGAAGTGGGTTCGATTCCCACCGGAGGCATGACAGCTTGATGGATCCGTTTCTTTTTTTCCACCTCGTGCACTGTGTATGTACGAGTTCGCCCCATGTAAGGAAGACATCGAAGTTCGGACTCCAGGAAAATTGAAACCCCTAGAGCAAGATTCAACGCGGTCGAATTCAGGCCGAAATCTGGCAGGTGGGAATTTATCTTCAGATGCTACAAGTTGAGATGAGTACGGCATGTACCCAGGGTATGAACAGAGCAATGTAAGCCTCTGTGGACAGGTACATCGTGAGGCTTTGAACTTTGAGCTGAACGAGGAGACGTGGGTTCGATTCCCACTGGGGCATTGAGTCGTGATAGACCCTAACCTTTTCACAAAGTCTGCGTTACGATTCGGCGTCCGCCTTTATCTCGCCTTGGTATCCCAGATCCGAATACCCGTGTCCACTCTCCGGAGTCCGCAGTTTGGCAATTATCCCAACGCGGAACCCCGAATCCCGTCCCGCATTCCGAGGTTGACATCCTTCTTTAAATTCCGTCAGATGAGAATCACATCAAGGAAAGAAGAACCCGAAGGAATATTATACTGTTACACCGAGACACCCGGCACGGGAGCAGACCCCGATCCCAAACGAGTTTAAGCTCGCGCTGGAATGCGGAGCCCCGTACCCCGCCCCCGCAGCCCCGCACTTCCTGCGGGGAAGGAACAACACAAATTACAATCATATTGAAACAGAAACAGGGGAACCAACGACAGAAAGACCCGGAATCGCCCGCGGCGCGCCGGATGGGGCAGCGGGCGTGTCAGCTGGGCAGGCGCGCTTGAACGTTGTCGCGCATTGGCGCGTCGCACCGGTGAATTTGCCCCTATGTTATATCAGCAAAGGCGGTCTGGGCTGTGGGGTTGTCACGCAAGCGCTGTCGGTATGCGGGGATCGGGGGGATGCGGGCCTGGGCTCGTAATTGGGGGATTGCATTGGATTACATTGGATTACGGAGGTGGGGTCAGCTGGGGTTTGTGTGGCGTTGCGGGAACCGGACTTGGCGGGCGTATAAAGGTTGGACCGGGAAGCGAAGGAGTGCTACTTTGCTCTTCCCACCCACTCCATCTCCATCTCTCTCTCACTATTCACTAGTCTCCCACCTTTGCTTGCGTCAACGGGAACCAGAGATCTCACAGACCACAATGTCGTCGACGAAATCAGACGCGCACTTCACGCACGAGTTCACGGAGGGGCTGTACAAGGGCAAGATCAGCTTCCCCACCGGCCTCTTCATCGGCGGCGAGTTCGTCGAGGGGTCGAATAAGACTACCATCGAGTGCGTTCCTTCCCGCCGTCGTCGTTCTTGATCCACGGGCGCTAACGCGATCGATCGATAGCGTCGTGAACCCCTCGACCGGCAAAATCCTCACCAAGATCCCCGAAGCCACCGCCGCCGACGTCGACATCGCCGTCAAAGCCGCGCAGCACGCGTTCGACACGGTCTGGGGGCTCAAGGCCCCCGGCGCGCTGCGCGCGCAGCTGCTCATGAACCTCGCGCTGCTGATGGAGAAGCACACCGACGAGCTGTGTGCCATTGAGGCGATCGATAATGGTGGGTCCCTTCTGTGTCCTCATTCCATTCGAGTTCCGAGCTCCGAGAGACAATTGCGATTGTGATTGGCGCCGTTGGCGATAGGCGATAGGCGGTGGGGCCGGGCCGTGGGTGCCTGGGCGGGATTGCGTGTGGATATCCCAATCGGCCCGCGCGCCGTTCTCCGCCGCTGCCTCGTCTCTAATTCCTGGAATATCGTGCCCTCGTCGACCGATGCTGACTCCTCCTCCCAGGAAAAACCTTCAACTGGGCAAAGAACGTCGATGTCGCGTTCGCTACGCAGACCATCAAGTGCGTGGTCCCTTCCCACTCCCTCGAGAGACCCAAAAAAGGAGCTGACGCTGACGCGCGCTCACAGATACTACGCTGGCTGGGCAGACAAGATCTCCGGGCAGACGATCGAGACGGACGAGAAGAAGCTCATCTACACGCGGCACGAGCCGATTGGTGTCGTGGGGCAGATTATCCCTTGTGAGTCTCTTGCTATATTTGTTCGAGGGGGAGAGAATTGGCGTGTGCGTCCTGTGGCTTGAGCACGGGCTCGACGTGGGCGCGCTTTTGTGGTGCATCTGCTGCTCGGCGCGCTTCGTCGTCAGCTACCCCTCCCCTCCCTCTGTCCTCCCTTTCTCATCCCACGAAACAAGAACGCTAACCCCAAAACACAGGGAACTTCCCCATCCTCATGCTGACGTGGAAGCTCGCCCCCGCGCTCGCCACCGGGAACACGATCGTGCTTAAGGTGGGTTTGCCTTCCTCCTCCTTGTCCTCCTTCCTCCTCGCCTCCATGCTTTCGTTGTTTCCCCCTCTCCGCCTTTGCATGTTGCTATCCCCCTCGCGTTGACATCCTCCCGTACTTTTTCGGCCTGCTGCCCATCGATTACATTGGCTTTCATTTCCTTTGCTTTGCTTTCCTTGGGAGAGAGCTTGAGCTACGTGCGGATTCTGCCGTTCCTCCTCCTCCTCTGCCTTTGCCTTTGCGTTCTACCTTCTACCTTCACCTTCTCCCTTCGCTCGCGTTCTTGTCCCGCCTCACGATGTGATACCCTTGCGTCGGGTACGCTTCCTCCGCGGTTTGCCCCAGATTCCTCCTGCATGCGCCCTTCTATTCCCCGCATCCCCGCATCATTCCTTCCACTCGCAAGTCCATCCATGCGATATTCTCCCCTCCCCGCGTCGTCCCACCGGGTCGTCGCGTCGGTGTCGGCCGTCGTGCGGGTCCTCGAGGTCCCTGCGTCATTCATCCTCCATGCACTCGTCTCCTCCCCTCCCTTCCCCTTCTTATGTCCCCCTCCATTTTTGCACCCCTCCATTTTTGTACCCCTCCCTTTTTGTACCCTTTCGCTGCTTCCTCTTGCCCCCCTCCCCTCCCCCTCCTACCTTCCCCCGTTCTACACCTTTTTATCCTTGCATTACTATGTTCCCGCCCGTCTCCTAACTCTCACTGACCCTCTTTCTACAGCCCTCCGAGTTCACCCCCATGACCGCCCTGCGCATGTGCAGCCTCATCAAGGAGGCCGGCTTCCCCCCGGGTGTGGTTAACGTCGTCACTGGGTGCGTCTTCCTTCCATGCACCTTCGCGGCGAAGACTTTATTGACGAATAATCTTCACAGATACGGACAGACCGTCGGCCAGGCGATCGCGGAGCACATGGATATCCAGAAGGTGTGTTTCTTTCCTCCCCTTCCCTCCTCCCCTCCCCTCTTCCTGTTCCCATGCGTGTAGCTAACGCCTCGCACAGGTCGCATTCACCGGCTCCACGCTCGTGGGGCGCAAAGTCATGGCGGCGGCGGCGGCGTCGAACCTGAAGAACGTGACGCTCGAGCTGGGCGGGAAGAGCCCGAACATCATCTTTGACGATGCGGATCTGGAGCAGGCGGTTGGGTGGGCTGCGCATGGGATTTTGTGAGTTTTTCTTCATCGTTTCTGCGTCTTCCTTCATCTCGCTCCGCACCCTCTCGTATCGATCGTCGTTTGCCCTTCGGCGTGCACGGCTCTCCCTACCATACCCCCTACCCGCCACTCCCTCTCAAGCTACTTATCGTTTCGTTCCCGCTTCCCACTCCCATTCCTCCTGCTGCCCACCTCCGCTCCTTCTACCCCTCCTCCTCTCTATCATCACGACTGACGTCGCTCATCTTACAGCTGGAACCACGGCCAGGCGTGCTGCGCGGGCTCGCGCATCTTCGTGCAGGCGGGGATCTACGACAAGTTCCTGGAGCTGTTCACGAAGCGGACGACGGACATCCAGGTCGGGGACCCGTTTGCGGAGAATGTGGACCAGGGGCCGCAGGTCAGCCAGTTGCAGTATGATGTGAGTGTTTTCTGCTTTTACCTTGTTCCCTCTACCGTGCTTCCCCTTCCTACCCTCCCTCCCCTCCCTCCCTCCCCCTCTTCTTTCCCCCGTCCCCCACGCGCCCGCACCCGACTGCCGCTGGGGCTCCGCGCTTCTCTCCCCTCACCCTCACGACGCTCATGCTAACGCACCTCCCCAGCGCATCATGGGCTACATCGAGTCGGGCAAGTCCGAGGGCGCGACGCTGCACGTGGGCGGCAAGCGCCACGGCACGGAGGGCTACTTCATCGAGCCGACGATCTTCACGAACACGACGCCGGACATGAAGATCGTCAAGGAGGAGATCTTTGGGCCTGTGGGCGTTGTGATCAAGTTTACCGACGAGGAGGGTGCGTTGTCTCTTCCTTCCCCTCCTTTCCTTCGCTTCAAAGCCGGAGTTGATGCTGATTGATGCGTTCGCAGACGTGATTCGCCAGGCGAACGACACAGTGTACGGGCTCGCGGCGGCGGTGTTCTCGCAGAACATCACCCGCGCGATCGAGACTGCACACCGGCTGCAGGCTGGGACCGCTTGGGTATGCCCTCTCTCCTTCCTTCCCTCCGTGCCATGCTGACGTCCCCCTCCAGGTCAACTGCGTCAACCAGCTCCACGCGAACGTGCCCTTCGGCGGCTTCAAGCAAAGCGGCATCGGGCGCGAGCTCGGCGAGTACGCGCTGCACAACTACTCCAACGTCAAGGCCGTGCACATCAACCTCGGGCACCGCCAGTGAGCGGACCGCGCTCGAGGTCTCTTGTCTCTTGGGGTGCCGGGATTCATCACATACGCACGCTGAAAAGGACGATGAAATGTAACGCTAAACGATAGGAGTATGTACTTG